TAAGTCAAGTCGGGGGGGGGGCAATAAGGAAAAGCTGGAGACATCAGTTCCTTGACATACTATAGCAGACCAGGTACTGTGGATGACAAGTGTGAGCTGGATGTGCAGCATGCATTCACATTTCCTCCTCCAAGGTCTTCCCTGTACACCTGACAGCAACACATTAATGAAGGCTTGCCATCATCTCTATGAAGCATACCACTAGAATTTTTTTTTTTGGGGGGGGGGGGGGAAAGTGCAATTGCCATTCAACTACAGCACAAGTAAAAGGGAACAAGATAGTTTCAGTTATCATGAGGATCAGTAAGGGGTCAGTCAACCACACTACAATGGCTGTGCCAAATAACAGCCATTTCCACTATGTCAGTTGTTGCCTTTCCTATTCAGTCATCTGCGGTGATAGTGAGACTGTGGCAAAATTTTATAGTGAATGTGGGAAAACTTCACTCTGTGATGTTTCTGCAGTGTGGCTGCTACTGCAGCTGTCCAAGTGTGAACGATGCCAGCCAATATAGTGATCACACATTATGAGAGAGGCTATGCCAACAACAGCCGCCCTGTATTACGTGCTCATGTAAGTACATATAAAATATTCTGGAAAAAAAAAAAATCATACAACACTTTGTAATGTAAATTCTCACATAAACAAAAGTATGAAAACAATTCCTAGCTATGTAAGTTTTGAGGTTTTCACGGCGATGACTATGAAGAAAGTCGTCTTCTGGGTTTAGGCGCCGTGTATTCTTCGTTTTGGCCGACGTTTCGGAGGAACGTATCGCCTCCATCTTCAGAGCAGGTGAATGGCTTGGAATACACCATATATGGCCTTAATCGCTCTCCACTGCTCCTACTGGTCCGCTCTCCCTAACCACCCTCCCCTGCCTACTTCGTATATAAGCAGCACCTTTCACTTCCTATCACTACAGCTACTGCTCTCTGCATTCCAAGCCATTCACCTGCTCTGATGATGAAGGCGATACGTTCCTCCGAAACGTCGGCCAAAACGAATAATACACGGCGCCAAAACCCAGAAGACGACTTTCTCCAATTCCTAGCTAATTTACACACTTGTTTCTACTCTGTATTATTTTGTTGATTGCTGTACATAACATATCGTTCATCTACACACACCTGTATACACCAAAAATACTATGTTCAGTTCTGTAACCTATATTGAGGCCATGGGAAGATGTTCTGTGGATGGTGGGAGATGGCAGCACTTGAGGCTTCCCAATCTCTACTCTTGTATCCCCCTTCAGACCGCTCTGACATGCTTCAACCAGCCCAAAGTACTTATTATTAGTGACTATCAGATGAGATTGGGTAGATGACTGGAGACGAATATAGCAAAACAGGGTGGAAGGAAATGTGGGGGGACCAATCCATGTGACTACTTCCGGTGACCTTTGCATGATCAATTCTATTGCATATAAAATATGTAATGTGAATGAACTATAGATAATTACCAAAAATCATCTTAAAATACTCAAATAAGAGGCAATGAATTAAAAAGGTATAAAAAGCTGTCACAATATGCTTACTCCTCCTGACTTATTGAGATGTCTGCCTTCAGTGTCATGTATCATGGCAGTATGGCACGGATTCTCCTCTCGATGACATTTCTGCACATGGGACAATCTACCACCTTCTCTGCACACTTGATGCAGCAACACATGTGGCCGCAAGGCACCAGGATGATTTCACACTAAGAACACAACAAACTTATCATATTCCAAACCTAGTAATCCTTACATTCATGTCCCCTTCTAATTTTATTGCTTTCCAACTGCTGATATACTCAGTGGCCGCTGTGCCGAGTGGACTCAATTGGACTCTAGGCCAGATACTTGCCTTCTCATCCATGCACACAACACATTCTACATTTGGAATGCCGCTCATGCTGCGAACTTCTCCCATCTCCTCTGCTGGAGGTGCGGACGGTTCTGGCATAAGGTCTGTGCCAGGAGTCGGTGCCCTCTCAAGAACACTGTTTGCCATTGTGGCTCGCTCTTCCAAGTACATTCTTACAGCCTTGAGAATTGCTGAACGGGTCTCAGACTGTATCACACCAGACTGCAATCAAAATAGGTGCCTCAACATCAAACGGGAAAGAAAACTTTTTCCTTTGCATTTGTGCAATCAAATCCTACCCTATCTAGGATGTCACTTCAAAGAAACAATAGAACTGCTTATGCTTACTTTATTATGTGTCTGACCAAGAAAAACATAGGATCCATGACCAATTTTTCAACTGATACAAATGTAATCTTGTTGAAAAAACTTCAACGTCATACTGAACAACTCATTATCTTTGATTTTCAAGTTCCTGTAATTCAACTACTGTCCTAGACATGACAGCAGCATTCAGAGAACATCTCTGTACTCTTGGCAGGAGGTTGTATTATACTGCCATGAAGACCAAAGATTTTCAGTTACACAAACCACATTTCAATTTGATGAAAGTCTCCTTACCTCCTTCAGCATTGTATCCGTAACATCGTGAAGAGCTTGAGGAGACTGAACCCACCTTGCCAAAAATGGCAAGCAGTGAATTACACCAGCAACAACTAGGTGGTTAGCTAGCAGTGGGTCTAATGTCTGATCTGCTTCTACAAGATAGCCTGGCCGGCTGTCCATCAATCTTTGATACTGTCGCAACCAGAAGTCACCATCTTTGCTTTGTCCCTAGAAGAAATAATTTCTGTACATAAAGAATACAATGCATGGCACATACCAAGTGATTATGAAACTCGAAACACGAACCTCTTCATCTATCCATCGTCGTTCCTCCATCTCTGTAAGCATGTTCAGTAACTGCTGCTTCCTTTCAGCCTGCTGGGACAGCAGATCCATTAGGAGAACTGACAATGCAACTCTCTTTTCAGATAATTCTTCCTGTAAAAGAGCAAGGATAGAATAATGAGATTTCAGGTTCTCGTGATGGTCTTCTGTAGTACGATACAAAGTACTTTGTCAGGCAGGTACCAACTTTTCATAGGAATCTGCCTTCTTGACCTTCAGAGTATAATATCCTGTGGAGAGAGCAGGTTTCTTTGAAATACTGGCACTGATCTACCGAACTACAGTGCATAAAACCACTGAAGACCATAATCTTAAACTTCTCTTATTATATATATTATTGTGGTAATCATACACACCACTTGTTCAGAGATCTGTAATTTCCTTCGTTCCATTTCTACAGCTGTCAAAGCAGCAAGCTGTGATTCAACTAGAGACACCTGGTGCACAAGGCTCCAACTGCGAGCATCACTTCTTTCCAGCAGTGCCCCTACTGCTGCACATTGCAATTCCTCATCCTGTTGCAGGCGTCCCACCAACTCAACCCTGACCTGTCCCTGAGCACTGAGTATGTTCTCCAGCTGCTGATCTGACTCCAGCTGCCTAGAAAAGCGATCAATACCACAACGATGCTCTTACAGACAACAAAATTCAGTACAGATTGAGACAGGTCTACAGCCTGGTCCTCTGTTCTGATCTCTTGAAACCTTCAATAATCAGCCATCACATCATCACCCAAGTAGTGGATGTACTGCCTGCACTTCTGGGTAATGAGATAAGGCACTTTGTGCGTTGCACACTTCCATACATTTATCTCACTTGCCAAGCATGAGATTTCAGAATGTGTTTTGTTCTAAGTCACATTTACACTGCAGCTCAAACTTCAATCCCAGTTTCTTGAAACTGTGTGTTTCTGAACACAGTACAATCCAGTACTCAGGGGATGATACATCTAACTATATTAATGGCTGCTAACCCTAACTTATGACGAGCTTGTATTTGAGTTGAGCTTTTTGTACTGGTGAAGATTCATGTTGTGGAGTTCCTATTGGCTGATAGCATGTAGTCTGGTAGGTGAATACAATTTCAGACTAACTTGCTTCTATAACCTAAAGAAGCAGTATGTTCTGAAACACTGGTACCCAACCACCAGACTTCAAAGAGGCCACAATATGAGTAACAGCACAGCCAAGGCAGTAAAATTTTCAGAGCCCAAAATTTTGTTAAGTTCTTATTACACAGAGAAAATGTGAGGTACTGACTGGCTGAGCAGAGTTCGGGTAACCTCAGCCCGTCCCTCCCCGTATTCTCTTAGTTTCTTCTCTCGAAGACACTCCTCCTCTAAAATGGCTTCCATGGCATCTGAAATACAGAACAGCAACAAATACATGCCAACCCTGCACTTCCATACCAATGTGTATCTCACTATAAGACAACCCTGAATACATGATGATCCATTTTCACAATGAACAATTTTAAGGAAATGTAGGATTTGAGGTTCTCACAGCAGTAGTTTTGAAGAGTACTGTATTCTGGGACAGTGTAGTCCACTGAAAGTCAACTGACATTTCAAAGGAACAAATTCCATCCATCTTCAGGATTGAACAAATTAATCAAGATATCGGTGTGAAAGCAGGTGCCAAACTGGCTGTCACACTGGTATCTTGCTCAGCTTATTCGACCATGAAGATGGATGCAATATATTCCTCCAAAACATCAGCTGACTTTCAGTGGACTACAAGGTGTAATCTCCCTGAAGATAGTCCTCTTCAATTTTAAGGAAAATTTATGTCATTTTTCTCATCAGCATGTTCAGATCCTGTCCAAGGGGTACCAAGGGCTCTCTCCACAAAGGTAAAGTTGCCAGGTGGTAAAGACGGCCAGCCATCCCCATCTGCTGCATAGGTTAAGAATATGTGGAGCTGTATGTCCACTACCCCTATACCCATCCTCTGCGACATAGTCTGATACTCACTGATCACGTCCTTGCGCTGGTATGACTGGTACCTGCCCTGCGCAACATTGAGAAGGCACTGCTCTTCCTCCTGCTCCAGTTCTAACAGACGTTGAAGTTGTGTGTCCCATGAGGCACTGCTGGCCAACAGATGAGATATCACAGAGTGTGCAGTCTTTTCCACTGAAACAAAGATGTACCGAGATTATGGCACTAACCCCTAGATATGACACTGTGTAGTCTGGTACAAGACTCCACCTGTTCCTCACTACCTTAGTTTGCTCTTTCACCCTGAAGATGGAGGCAGTATGTTCCTCTCCAACTTCTGCCAACTACATGTCACATGCCAGAAAGTACAGCCATATTCTCTATTTTAGATATAAGAATATACTCGTACATTGTGGTGCTTGAAAACAGGAGAATGACAAAGCCATTTAGCCTGAAGGTAGAGGGGATGTAAAGCGGGAGTAGAGAAAATTACATGAGGAGCTTCTAATACTGTGTACTCATGCAACAGCTGTCTGGTGATGAAATTAGTGAGATAGGTGGGGCATGGGGCAGATAACAAAAACATATAAACTTTTGCCTGGAAATCCTCAAGGGACTAGACGATTTGTGGGACCTATGAATATATTGGAAGAGAGTTCTAAAATGGATCTCAGAGAAGTAGCTCATGATGAGTTTCAGATCAGGACAGGAGCCATTCTCAGGTTCTTGTGAAAGTGGTAATGAACTTTCATGTTCCACAACAGGACAGGAACTGCTTGGCTAGTTGAGTGACTACCAGCTTCTCATGAAGAATTCTACTCAATGAAATTGCTGATTATAGAATATCTCTGTGATAAACTCCTTATCTTCAACAATCTTCTACATAACTTCTCAGTTTCTATATGCTATTAACATTCATACAGCATAATATTTAAATAATGAATGAATCTTACACACATAAACACTGAATCACAGTGTTTTTATTACCATTTCAAAAACATTTATTTAATTTATCAACATAAATTACTATTTAAATACAAACTACTTTGTTCTTCAATAACAGAAAGTCAAATGAATGCTGTCATTTCCATTATTTCATTTATGTCTGATTAATGCTACTATAAGTAGTTGAGATTACAGAGCCTCGAACAGTGAGCTACTTGGTGAATAATGAATTGGGAAGGATGTACAGAGAGAAGACATAGTAGTGGCCCAATATCAGGAATTATACTGGGATATGTCTAGAGGCCAGTTTCATTATGTTGCAGATACAAGTGTACTGTTACAAAAAAAAATTACGCTATCAAGAGTCACAAAGTACCTCATTACACATTTATCACATCAAAAATATTTTCAAACATATGTTATAGATCTGTATTTGATATCCATATCAATCTCACCTGTACATTTGGCTGTTAATGTAGCATTTATATTAGACTGAAATAACTGAATAGACTGAATAGAATGAATAGACTGAAATATAAAATTTATATTAGACTACATTTGTAATGTGAACTCTCCCCATTATGCGTTCATGAGATGCACTTCACAGAAAGCAACACACACCAAGCATAAAGCAAGACATGGTGAATACTGACCTTCCTGGAGTTGCTCTATGAGCTTCATTCTTCCTGCTTCTCGTTTTTCTTGTATTTGACGTATTTCACTCTCGAGCTTATTCTGCTGTTCCATCAAGTCTTCTAAAAGCTAGAACACGCAATGTGACACCTTCATTTCACTCTGTTTAACAAAGAGTAGCCACATCTTTAACGATTCAGCACAATTAGAAACTGGGCATACTCACAGTATAATCCATAACATGCAATAATGAGGAAATACATGCTGCAGAGTAACAATGCTCAGGCAGTTAGTCACCAGCTTCCCAATGCAGTGGCCCAGGTTCGATCCCAGGTCAGGTCATGTGGGATCTGTGGTTGATAAAGTGGTAATGGGGTAGGTTTCTCCAAGTATTTTGGTTTCCCTAGAAAATCTCATTCCACTAACTGCTCCATATTTATTTAACATCCTACAACTGACCCTATATATATTCTTCATGCAGACATAAATGATAAGGTAAAGTTGGCCTTATGCTTAACTAATCAAGCACTATGTCATGAAGGCGTATGGTGGAGTGGGTGTATAGATCCACATTTTCTTGACCTCAGCATTAGGTGGAGGTTGAGTGGTCAGTTTCACACACCTGCCATTTTACCCCCAGGGTAAAAGCCCCTGGCACTCATTGGATAGGAGGCTTGGTAGGCGCTAGAACCAGTCTGGATGACGTGAAGAGAAAATTCTTGACCATACTGGGACTCAAACTCTGACCCCTCGGTCATCCAGCCCATAGCCAGTTGCTATACTGACTACCTTATTGTGGCTCCTATCAGTGATTTGGTTGGTAAAGTTGAGAAGATAGCAAGAAAACCATGGGTTACACAGGAGATGATGAGTAAAATGGAGGAGCAAAGGAAATGGAAGAATGTAAACAATGAAGAAGGCAGGAGGAAATACAGGAGACTGAGGAATTAATTGAAAAGAGCAACAGACAGGGCCAAAAAGGAATATCTTGAGAAGATATGTAATGAGATTATAGAATTTCAAAGAACAGGACGTTATGATTTGATGTACATGAAGACAAAAGAACTAGGATGGAAAGAGAATCATGGGATTCAAGATATTGGCATCGAAGACTCCCAGAGGAATAGAATAGTAGATCAGAGACAAGTCCTGAAAATTTGGGAAAATTATATTACAGAACTATATGATCGACCTAATCGGCCAGAAACCTTAGAAGTTGAACCGGAAGAAGTAGATACAGACGAGAAAGGACCATATATTTTACAAAGTGAAGTGGAAAAAGCTATCAAGGAAATGAGGAAGGGAAAGGCTACAGGAGATGATGATGTACCTGGAGATGTGCTCAAGTTACTGGGAGAAGGTGGTTTGAAAACAATGACAAAACTAATGAACACCATATATGAAAGTGGAGAGTGGCCCAAGGACTTTACAGAAGTTACAATGATTGCCTTAAAGAAAAAGACAAAAGCTACAAAATGCAGCGACCATCGCACAATAAGTCTTATTGCACATACAGCAAAGATAATAGCAAAGATACTTAAAAGAAGAATTGAAAGGAAAATAGAGGATGTACTTGGAGAAGATCAGTTTGGATTTAGAAGAGGAAAAGGAACCAGGGATGCAATTGGGATGATGAGAATTATAGCGGAATGAACTTTGGAGATATATGAAGAACTGTGTGTTTGTTTCATAGACTGGCAGAAGGCATTTGACCGGGTAAACTGGACCAAATTAATGCAGATCCTAAAAGAAACAGGTATCGATTGGCGTGAAAGAAGACTGATTAGCAAACTGTACATGGATCAGAAAGTTAGAGTACGAATGGACAGAGGGGAGACAGGAAGTGTGCAGATTGGAAGAGGAGTTCGACAAGGATGCTGTTTATCACCAATTCTGTTCAACCTGTGCAGCAAATGCCTTACCAAGGAAGCTCTGGATGCGCTCGGAGACTTCAAAGTAGGAGGGCAAATTATTCAAACTGTGAAATATGCAGATGACCTTGTGTTAATGGCTAAGGAAGAAACTGTGCTACAGGGCATGATTGATAGACTAATTGAAATTGGAAGGTGCTATGGCATGGAAATGAATGTGGAGAAAACAAAAGTAATGAAAATTTCGAGACAACCAACCCCAGTCAAAATAAAGATAGACCAAAAACAACTAGAGAATGTGAAAAGTTTGAAATATTTGGGTAGCTTGTTAACAGATGATGGAAGGTGTACTTGTGAAATTAAATCCAGGATTGCCATGGCAAAAGCTGCATTTAGCAAGAAGAAGAATCTTTTTACCAGCAAATTGGACTTAAATTTGAGGAAGAAACTAGTGAAATGCTACATTTGGAGCATAGCTCTGTATGGGGCTGAAACATGGACACTTAGGGCAGTAGATCAGAAACATCTGGAAAGTTTCGAAATGTGGTGTTGGAGAAGAATGGAGAAGATCAGTTGGACCGATTATGTGAGAAATGAAGAAGTGTTAATTAGAGTCAGTGAGCAGAGGAATATCCTACATGAAATAAGAAAACGGAAGGCTAATTGGATTGGTCATGTTTTACGCAGAAACTGCCTTCTAAAAGAAGCTATCGAAGGAAAGATAGATGGGCGGATAGAAGTGACAAGAAGACGAGGAAGAAGACGTAAGAAGATGCTGGATGACCTTGGGGACAGAAGAGGATACTGTCATTTGAAGGAGAAAGCTCTAGATCGCATTAAGTGGAGGAATTGTTTTGAAAGAGACTGTGGACCTGTCGTCTTGACAGATTACTGATGATGATGATGATTCTTGATACAGAGTGTGTCATTTAATAACAAACAAACAACAACCTACAAGCTGTGCACTTATGCAATCTGACATACATAAAGCTGAGGGTTTCTGCCTGAGATATAGTGAACCCTCAACTACATGTGCGCCAATTTTGTTATTGCATGGCTTGTGGTTACTTTGAAAAAATGCATCTAAATTTGATGAAATTAAAATTACGAACATACAGCTTACAAACTCCCTGTTAAATTTACTGGGGTTACTTGCAACCTGAAGCATGCTCTCTGAAAGAACATACATCCAAAAACTGTTGAGCCCAACCTGTACTGAGTTACTCTTCTTTGCAGCCTGAAGTTCCACTTCCTTTCTCTGATGTTCCTCCAAGTTTCTTTCCAAAGCTAACAATTCTTGCTGCTTTTGCTCCTGCAAAAATATAAATCAGTGGTCAATTTTCTCACCATCACACTGAATCTTTGCGAATCCTTGTAATTAAACATAATAAATGAAGACGTTAAATGTAAATAACTAAATGTACACATGAATGGAAAATAATTTCATTTTCTTAAAAAGCATTGAAATATATTTTTACAAGCACAATGAATCAAATAACAATTTATTTACATTTTCCACTCCAAATTATGTTGTCAATATCCTGCTATAGTTAGTTAGTGTCAGTTAATTCAAAGAACCTCCTCTTCATTTAACAAATGTTTGCTTAATTAGTGATAATGAAAGAACACATCACTTCTGTAAAAAGAACAGTTAATATACTTATCAAATTGATGTTACAATAGTTGATAAGTCAGTGTGATGTGTGTGCATGTGTGTGAACCATACGGTGAATGAAAACAAAATGGCACAAGGTAAGTCACCTTCCCCAGCAAAGACTGCACACACATATACACTGCTAAAATATAGCAGTGTCCTTGCAGCCCTGTCTTCATGCAAAAAAGTCATGCAATTCTTGGATGTGGGCTGGAAATCATTAAGGAACCTCAGTTCATCCTGCGCTTAATTTGCACTTTATTTGGCAACGCTGTCAGTATCTCAGGCTACACAGTGCTGAATAGCAGGATAACTAAATGAGTGAGGAATTGGAAGTGACATGGAAGAAACAAGCCACAGTATAATTTTTGGTACTATCCCAGCATTTGCCTTATGGAACTAAAAAAAACCACAGAAAACCTCAGTCGGGCCAGCTGGTCTGTGTCCTGTGTTTGGAGCCTGGGACCTCATGCATGGGAAGCAGCAGTGCTAACAGCTCAGCTGCACATTCAGTAACTCCACATCACCGCGAGGAGATTCCTGGCACCATGTACAGTGTATGTGACTGGTGATTTGGATCATGCCAGAATTGAGTACACCAACATTCCAACATGAATTTCAATATGGACAGATAAAACTTAATTTCTGCACTATAATATGGTAAGCATAACATTAAATTATACATTAATTATATATTCTAATACAAAGATATGAATACCAAAAAAATTAAGATAAAAATAAGAAAACAGAGTACATTTACTCAACATGCCTTCAGTCTCTCTAGCTGCTGGATTTTGGCCTAGAATAGAAAAGTGAACAGCACAATTAATATATATTTAAAGCAATTAACAATGAAAGTGATTATAAATAGCAAAAGAAGATTACATCAATGCTGCAAAACATATGAAATAAAGCAACAACTTGTCTGCACAAGGAAAGACATCCCCCTGTGAGTCCATCAGCACAGACCAAATTCACTATCAAGAATGTTCCAAAATTCACAGATACCGAGACACCAAGATCAAACCTGAATGACAGTGGGTTTGTGTACTGTGGCACATTCAGACCTTGTATCTGATGTTTTTACAGAATTCACCATAAAAGGAGAACCCCATTGATGGGAGATTGCTTTAAAAGCACTAAATGCAAAGAACTGAGAATGTGTTATGCTGTGTAGAATTTTACTCTTTACGGTAACCATACAAACCTGAGATTCCCAAGGCAGTGGCCTTCTGGGATGTGATGCCATGTAGCCAGGTAAAAGGTTACCCTATTCACCACATCGTGTACTGTCACATCTCTGATGAAGGCAGTAATGCCATTCACCACTTGTACAGTGACTGACATTACTACCAATCAACTGTCCTAACTAAAAGCATTCAAAGTGACTGTGCATGGTTCGACTGCATAAGAGAAGGGCATATAGTGGCGCTAAAGACTAAAAGAAGTTTGTGTTCATAAGAACCTTCTGATTCTCCTAAACTAATTATATATATTTGCATACATGTTAAACGAGACAGGCCGTGGGACCACCACCGAGACCTTCAACCCTGCAGCCGACGAAACCCCA